TTTCTTGTGTTCTTTGTCCGGATGGATACCCAATAGAGGAGACCTAACAACAAAGATTGTAATCCCTTCACCTCGGAGAAGCAAGCGGGTTCTGTAGCCTGAGGCTTTCACCAAACGGGAGAGGAGGACATACATCTTCGGCCTCCATTGGATAAGAATAAAGGCTTTCGACCATCAGGGATCTGGCTAATGTATTACCTGTTCACTATTTCATTATTCCTTATTGATCAGCAAAGTACATTCACATATAGGGGAGAGCAAGGGGTAGACTTAGCTGTCACTTACACAGGAATGAGTGCTTTTGCCCCAAACCAGTGTAAAGAAGTTGGTGCCTGAGCCAATCAGCATGCACCATTGCTGTCCTATGGGAGGAAGATAAATGGGTCACATGCTCTGCCATGCACAGAAGTACCAGGTATTTCTCTTCCCTCTGATCGGAGTGATGGGGGAGAGTAGGAAAGGTGGATTACTGCTCTGCCCTGCAATGTCATCTGTTGCAATCCTCATCCTTATTTACACCTGGTGATCCTGCCAGTAACACACTTATTCCAGAGTGACCACGCTTACTCTGTGTATTTATCTATGGACTAGCAGCGTTGTCACCTCAGGACGGCAGAACAAAGCTTTCAATGGTATGTTTAACAGACCAAAGGGAACAAATAAGAGGAGTTCATTGTTCAGGTTTAAATACACTTAACGGTAACTCCTTGCTTCACTGCATGGCCAAAGCACAGGTTCACTTTTAAGGGAATCGTCATACAGCAAAATACTTGGAGTGGGGACACTCTGATAGGGGCTGCATCTGATAGAGGCGGCCCTTCATGTACTTGACGGAGGCGGCCCTTCATGTACTTGACGGAGGCGGCCCTTCATGTACTTGACGGAGGCGTCCATTGGTTTGGTGGAAGGAGGCGGCCCTTCATGTTCTTGACGGAGGCGTCCATTGGTTTGGTGGAAGGAGGGAGTCATTTGTTTAATTGATCGCCATTCATAAGCCAGTTACTAGATCTGGGGTTGTGAAGTGCAGCAGCCTTTTTAGCCTCACTGTGAGAGCTGCCAGTACCCCGACAACTAGGTTTCTCCTCCAGGTATTTTTGTTTATAATAAGTTGCATTACATTGAAACGGAACCTTCCGGCTATTTTATACAATGCCACATATAAGGGCAGGGAGAGCGAGAGAGAACAAACTCAAACTCCAGGCAGACATTACTGGTACTAATGAATGCAGCTCTTTTTTTTATAATGTAAGCAGTGGAAGTACCTAAATGTTGATTTGGTATAAGTCTCTTGCATCCCCTGTACAGCAGAGCTCAGACTGGAAGAGGACAAAGCAGCACAAGGAGACAATCAGTTTTGCTGCATTGCTCATGTGCTAGCAAGTAGCATACTGATAGGAAGAGGGAGCAATGCCAAAGGGATGAACTCATCAGCCTGCAATCACAGGCCGGGTGCAGGAACAAGACCTGCAAATGTAACTGAACTGAAAAGGGTTCAAATGACGTCCCCTACCAAACAGGCCTGTGCTCTGTGGCAGAGTTGTTTAAATCTCAGAACTGGATGGCCAAAAATCTTTTGGTAGGTTAAACAGCTCACATATATGTATTTCATGTGTGTATTTAGCTGTCTATCTGACGCTTTACATTCAGAAAATACCGGAACATTCCAGGCAGGTTTTTGCACTTGGCATTATTTCCGTGTAATACTCTGTCATTGTGTTACTTCTCACTCATGACATATGACGGGCATATGATGGACTTTCATTTCTTCTCTCCGCAGTTTTTCCCGTATATCCTTCTACTTGTGGCAGTACTTCTCTACCTGCCGTCCTTATTCTGGAGGTTCACGGCGGCTCCTCATCTCTGCTCAGATCTGAAATTCATCATGGAGGAACTGGATAGATCTTACAACAGGGCCATCAAAGCCGCCAACAGCATAAACGGCAAGAAGGACGGCGCCAGCTCCCCAAAAATAAGTGACAACGTGGCACAGAGGTAATTGCACCAGCCTGCTTAATCCCTTGCCACCAGCCGGGGGCTGGCCCTTTAAGTGGGCCATGAGGCTGGTATGTAGGGGGGACCTGTTCATTCTTTCACTGTGATTGGCTGCCATTGATCACCTAAAATGACACTAAATTAAAGTAGTTTTCTGCAGGCAGTCTGTTGTGGGTGGAGCCTGCTGGGTCCTTTCCACAGCTCTGCTCAGGCTATGTGCAGCGCAGTAATGGTGTCACTGCTATTTTCACAAGGCGCCATCTGTTTGCAGACATTTTGGCAGCAAGCAGCGCGGGTGGGTCTTAATGCCCAGCTGCCGTGTGAATTATTCAATGTGTTTTATCAGGGTTCACTCAGCTGGCACCCCCAGAACTATTACCCATGATGGACAAAAATCACAGGAGCAAGCTTGGAGCGGTGGAAGTAAAAAAAAGTGTGGTGTGCAATATAGTGAAATGAAGTTTAAAATTATACAGCAATGAATGCAGAATGGCACCGGCTATAGAGGACTACAAATCCCAGCAATAGTACATTATACAGCGCAATGCAGAATACCACCAGCTATAGAGGACTACAAATCCCAGCAATAGTACATTTATATGTGGTGGCATTCCGCATTGTGCTGTATAATGTACTATTGCTGGGATTTGTAGTCCTCTATGCAGCGCAATGCAGAATACCACCAGCTTTAGAGGAGTACAACAAATCCCAGCAATAATACATTATACAGCACAATGCGGAATACCACCAGCTATAGAGTACAACAAATCCCAGCAATACAATATACATACCGTCATAGCGCAAGCTTCGGCGCTAGGCTTCGGGGCATTTTGACAAGTACAAGTACTTGTCAAAATGCCCTGTATCGGGCCCGATTCCGATCGATATCGGGACATCCCTACCGTTAATGCTGCAGATCATTCACTTCTATATGCAGAGCACCATCTAGTGGCCAAGTAGAGAAGATTCCCATTTCAGGGCATGTAGAGATTTCACATGTAAACTGCAGAACGTAGCAGGATGCCATAAATGCTTCTTCATTTAAAAAGAAATTCTACTTTCACTGTCGGAGTTCCCCCGCACCCTCCCCCGATAAACTGCTTTTAAAAAGGGTTTTAGGCAGGGGGTGGGTTCCAGGATTGCAGTGGGATTTGGCTAAGGGGAGAGTTAAAGTAGAATTAAACACGTTTTGTTTTTTTCGCATAGATCTCCAGCTAGCAAGCAGGAGATCTATGCAATAGCATAAGAAAGTGACCAAAAAGGCAATTACTTACCTGTGTCTCTGCCGCTCGCTCCCGTCTGAAGATCTGGAGCCTATCGAGTGGCTGTGCAGGATAATGCGGCGGGCGCATGCGCAGTAGAGATCTTTGGCGGGGAGAAGAGGAGAGACACAGCGGAGGTGAATGCATGCAGCCGGGAGCGTGCATGTTGGACAGACACCATGGGATATGAGGAGTCTGCGCTGGATCAGAGACCGGCACCAGCGCTGGAGGGATTGCTGAATACAACTGGAAAGAAAAAGATCAGATCTTATCAAGAGGCATCATTTAAGGTAAGTCCTTAAAGCCGCATGGGGGAAGGGGAGTGGGCGGGGCTCTGTGCTGTCAGCATAGAGCAGGCAGTAAACCGCTATATGCCAGGTTTGGGTAACAGAGCGCATTAGTAAATATGCTCCTGTAGTCATAAAGCCAAAAAAAAAGGGTTTGGCTTTAGTTCTCTACAATGCAAGCAAATTACTTTCTTGTATTATACGTAGGGTTGCCACCTGTTCTTTCAGCGAAACCCGAACACTCTAGCGACTTCTTGATATGTTACTATCACAGACTGTTTGCGGTGGGGGGCCAGTAGCCCTATCTTAAGTTTGGTTGCCCCCGTCTGCCTGACATCATGTGTCGGGGTTATGAAACCCGGACACAGCATTCAAAACCCGAACTGTCCGGGTGAATCCCGGACAGGTGGCATCCCTAATTATACGGGGTCTCTAGACTCCAGAGATAGACATCATCCTGCCCCTGTACAAAGCATTAGTAAGACCTCATCTGGAATATGCAGTTCAGTTTTGGGAACCAGTTCACAAAAAGGATGTTGTGAAACTGGAGAAAGTGCAGCGAAGGGCGACTAAAGAGGCATGGAGGAGCTCAGCTACGAGGAAAGATTAGCTGACCTGAATTTGTTCACTCTGGAGAAGAGGCGACTAAGGGTGGACATGATCACTATGTATAAATACATAAATGGTCCATATAAAGAGCTTGGTGCCAAATTATTCACGTTAAGGTCACTGCAAAGGACAAGGGGGCACTCTTTGCGTCTGGAGGAAAAGAGGTTTAACCTTTGCATAAGAAAAGGATTCTTCACAGTTAGAGCTGTGAAAATGTGTTATAGACTCCCCAAGGAGCTAGTTCTAGCTAGCTCTGTAAATTGTTTAAAAAAATATCTGGATGTATTTCTAAATGCACAGAATATTACTGGATATTGAGTTCTTATAGGTATATTAGGCATCAGAGATTCTTGATCCAGGGAATAGCCGATTGCCTTATGGGATCAGGAAGGAATTTTTTTTTCCCCTGTTGGAGCAAATTGAACCATTAATTATAGGGTTTTTTTTTTTTTTGCCTTCCTCTGGATCAACATTGGGTAATTGTGGGCATAGCGTTCTGTTTAGGCTTTTCTTTTTTTTTTTTTTTCTTTTTTCTCTATAGGTTGAACTTGATAGACTTGTGTCTTTTTTTCAACCTGACTAACTATTTTCTAAATTGCTTATGTATGCAGACTGAGCCCTGGGCAGGGCAGTTCTTTTCCTTGTATGCATTTCATAACTTCTTGTGTAATCTTGGTGTATTGCTGAATTGACTGGCTACAGAGACCTATGAAGGTCAATAGGAATTTGGTAAATTGGAATTCCGGTTGCCATTGGAACATGTAATTGCTGCTTTTATGAACAAGCCGTTGCCTTCAGCCACATTGGTGTCTCACAGTTTTGTCATTCTGTTTTGTACAGCTCGTGGGAGATTTCAGAAAGCCACTTCAAATACCCGTTTGTCGAGCAGTATCTCAAGACCAAGAATTTCTCCTATCATCTCATAATCAAGTACCTCATCTGCCGTTCTCTGACATTGGTCATTATCCTGCTGGCTTGTGTCTACCTCGGCTATTACATCAGCCTCTTTTCTTTGACCGATGAATTCAGCTGCAATATCCGGACCGGCATATTAAAGAATGACACTTCACTGCCCTCCTTAATACAGTGCAAGCTGATTGCGGTGGGGGTCTTCCAGCTGCTCAGTTATATAAACCTGATTGTGTATGTTATAATGATGCCGGTGGTGGTGTACACCATGCTGCTGCCGTTTAGGAACAGGTCCAACATTCTAAAAGTTTACGAGTTGCTCCCAACGTCCAGCGTCTACCAGTGCCCCTCCAAAAACTATGACGACCTCAGCCTGTTCCTTCTGTTCTTGGAGGAGAACGTCAGTGAGCTGAAGTCCTTCAAGTATCTTAAAGTGCTGGAAAATCTGAAGGGTACCGGAGAAGACATTGATACCATGCAGATTCTAACAACGCTGGGAACCGTGAAGACGGACGCAGTTGATGGCAAGCTAGCCGGCTTTAAAACTGGGGCGTTACCCCCCGCAGAAAAGAACGCTGCAGAGCTGAAAGGTAATATATACAGTATATGATTTATTTATTTTTTTAAATAAACATTACACCCTTAAAGGAGAACTATGGGGTCAGCGTTTTTCCCCATAGTTCTCCTTAGGGTAACGGGAGGACACAAACTAGCGTCCTCCCGTTACCCTAAACTCAGTATTGGGACGCTGGAGCAGATCCCGACATCGATGTGGAGATCCGCCCAGCTGCGTGAGTGACAGCTGGCTCTGCCTATCTAGAGGCAGTTATAGCGAGCGGGGCAGTTATAGCGAGCGGGAAATCCCCGCTATTTGAAAAGAGGAAGCGATGCCCGTTAATATACAAGCGATCCGCCGGCTATAGAGCCGGCGGATCGCTTAAGCTGGTCAGATGATGTCACAGGAAGGTACTTTTTTTTTTGACATTGGGATAGGCAGACATTCTTTCAAGACTGAGGGGTGCTCACATCATAACACTTCAGTACCATTCAGTTCAGGAGTACTGTGAACCCAGCCGTGATGTGCCCCTCTTCCCCATGGAGACATGTAAATGACAGGCAGGGCTCACAGGGAGCCAGAATTACATGGGGGGGGTGTTCTGCCCTGACCTCCAGCAGTGGGCTGGGCAGGATGTTGTGCTGGAGCATGGAGAGGGTGGGGAGGGGGGACCTGGAATTTTTACTTTAAAGTGAACTTGTGTTTGGCCTATGTATGTAATTTCTAACCATGAACTTCTCATATTTGCTCCCTTTTGGTCTTTTTAAATATACAATTCAAAGCGTTTTGATATATCTGTTAAATAAGTGCAAAAATACCTGTTGATGCTGCCAGAACTCTTGTGAGCTGATAACTTACTCTGCTCTTTGCCTAAAAATCCCTGTTGCCCCATCAGAGATTCAGAGCTGCCCTGTTCACTCTGCCTGTGTCATCTCAATGAGTCCAATCATCACTTCCAGTTCTTATCTTGAAACAACCCTCCCCATGTTGGGGCAGATGATTCTCTAGGTTGGTTACATTCTGATGTCAGGTTTGATTTCAGAAATCAAAAAGCATTTCTGGCAGATCATTGGGTATTTGTATGTACTTGCAGGGCCTTTAAAGGGATAAAACATAGAGAAATGTTTATGTATTGCAGAGACATAAGATGTTGAAAGGTGATGCAAGGAATCTGACACGGCACTGTTGCCCTTCTGTTGTCTTGTACCAGTCTTGCCACTCTCCGTTCTGCCCTAACATTGACTAGTCGCTGACGGCCACAATTCGCACGTTCAGACCAGATTTTTGTCTGACAGTCCAGTCTTTAAACACTTTAACAATGAGTCCCTCTTGAACATTTAACAAATTCTGCTGTTTTGCTGATACTCACTCCATGGCTCCGAGCGCCAACAATCATCCCACGTTCAAAGGCTGTTAAATTGCGTTGTTTCCCCGTATCTTCAGAAAAAAATCACTTCTACTGTCGTGGTAAACAACCCGATTCCCTATTTATAATGGTCTGGCCCTCTAGCAACTTCAGCGCCAAATTATAGCTCATTTGCCTACAAACGTCAGGTGGTCATAATAATCTGGCCACTCAGTGTGTGTGTATATAGATCTATATATAGATATATATAGATCTATATTCTATACCCATATAAGCCCTGTCCCAAATTAGACCAAACAAAAAAGTATTGAATTGACCAGCAGTGACTTTAAAAAAAAAAGAAGCCTCGGCCGCTATGCTCATCCAACCTCCAGAGCTGTCCCGCGACTGATCCAGCACCACTCCTCTTCCGGTTGTATAATACCAAGCGTCATTCAACCCATTTCCTGTGAGCCCTGGATGTTAAAGCTCCTCTCCCTTCCCGGGTTTTAGGATCCACCTTCCACTGGAGGAAGAAGGGGACCCATGATGTCATTAGACCTGACCAAAGAAAGAAAAAAGGTAAGTATACAGTTTTTTTCATGGGTACACCGATGCTCCATTTGAGGGGGTTATTGAGCCTGGAGTTGGTTTGTAAGTGATACTCAGCCTCCCATCCAACTGCTTATACACACATCTTTCATTCACTCCCCAACACTCCATTTATCTGTCGGATTAAAGGGAAAATAACATTTACATTCACTTTGCTTCATAGAAAAGTGATACACATTGGGGTCTATTGCCATTGGCCCTGCAAATCACTGTGAATGTTTCGTTCTGTGCAAATGGAAGCACAAAACAAATAATCTTTGTATTTTGTTTGTCGAATGTATTTTCAAACGTCAGGTTGTAATACCGCATTATGGCCACTAGATGGATCTGAACAGCATAGGAAATATTCTTAGTCTTCAGGATTTCTAAGACAGTACAGTTACAATACAATAGGGTTAGGAGGGCCCTGCTTGTGAGAGCTTAGGAAATAAATATGCATTTCCTATGCTCCTTGGCTCCAACGGGTGGCCATATTGTTTATAAATAGACCCCATTGTGTGTCTTTGTATTCCTATAGCAGGTATGAGCAGAAATTGATTTCTTATGTCCGGTTAAGCTCCTGTCTGTGGTTGGTAGAAATGACATCCATTGTGGGCACCCAGACCAGTGAATTGATGTGTACAGACTGGTTTAAACCCCTTCTGTATTTTTTCCTCTTCAGATCTGGCCAATTCCGATGGCGTGAAGATCTCTACAGAAGACAAGAAAGTTCGACAAAGGCTTCTAGATTCGTCTTGCTAAGAGCTCCCTCCTACAGTGTAAAGATGTTTACAGCCAACCATCCTCATGACAAAACCACTGGAAGTATTCACTGGATCAGCCTGACACTGGAATAGACTCAGTACAGAATGACCGGCAATCCACTCAGGGATTCAGTTGTAGCGATCGATTCCTTGAAGAGGGTGAAAGTGTCAAACTGAACTGGAACTAGTAATAATGTCTCCAGATTCCGATGTCTCCATAGACTCCGGTATTGTCACCCCGAGCACTGAATACAAGAGAAGAGACTCGCAGGGGTTATCTTCTTGAGGAAATGTGCTTTTCTATAGAGGAGCCAAGTCTCGCCGATGTGGTACCATTGTATAGTCGTGTTTTAGAGCGTCTTTTAAAGGAACCGGAATGCACTATTGTTTTTAATATGCTCAGTATAGCCTGCAATAGGGCTGTCTCTTGATCGATATATTCATTTTAGGAATACGTGCTATTTATTTTATATGAGTTGGTGAACACATTTTAGAAATACACAGCTAAATAATGTATATAGATGAACTGGTGTAGCAGCTGAAGGAGTTTGATTCATTTCTGCCAGTCTTGTGAATTACGTACTCCTGCCAGACAGCACGGCCGGGTCCTGGGGTCTCTCTGCTGGCTACAACTTTGTTATTGCAGCATGGCTCAGCCCAACCTCTGATTGCACAGGCAACAAGCTGCCAATACACTAATGAGGTCTTCCCTCTGCTCTCCTCTCTTGTGAGAATGTTCAGCGCAAAGCAAGAGCCTTGATTGGCTCGCAGTTCTTCCTGCCCCACCCACCCCAGTGTCTGAGTGCTGCTGTGCAGGAGATTTCAGCAAACCTATTATCAAGACGTATAGAGGTACACGCAGGCACACGCATTAACTGAATGTTAACAATACATTTTACTGTTTTTTAATGAACACATAACTTGTTTAATATTTGCTTGGTGTTCAGCTGTAATAATATTGTGAATGGGTAAGAGAATACATTACATGAATGGTAGCCGACACTCATCTACGAGATGGCCCCCCTTGGCTTTGCTCCAAGGCTATCTCTGACTGTTGATGGCAGTGACTCTTTCCAAAGTCGGGTCCCTTCGATGGCTTGGCCCAAGCAAAGTGCTTCTGAACCTGTTGTAGAGTGACGTTGGTTGATTCCCTACAATATGGAAGCTCCCAGTGCTGGTACTAAGGGACATGTGAGCACAAACTCAGCCAATCAAATTCTACAGTGGGCTGAGATGCTTCTACATCATCTATCATGAGCAGGTCATATCTGTCTGGACTTTGGAAATATCCATTGTGATATCTGTGGCCCTGCACACCATGGAGGGTGCTGCTATGTGCAGACTTCCTGAAGGTCCCATTCGCACGGGGACACGTGGTGCATTCTGAGATTCCTGCAGCAAGAACCTTACAGATTTCTGTGGCAGGAGTCCCCGTTCCAATGCGGCTGCAGTACCCATTGAAGTTTAACGATGGGGTGATAACGGCCGCATCTGTCTGTGGCAGTCTGCATGTAATCGTGCACGGTACAATCTTATGCGGTTTGGAATAGATGATTGTACCTGAACACATCTATCCTGCATCCAGTGACGATCGTCTGTGCCAAACCGCATGCAATTGTACGATTACATGCCGACACGCGCTGACGGATACACCCTGCCATTCACTTTATTTGGTTTAGCGGGACACTAGACATTCCTGCTGCAAGAATATGTAGGTTCCTGCCGCAGGAATCTTCCAATGCCCTTAATCCCCCTCCACAGATGCACACTTACCCCGACCTGGCAGTGGTGTTTGTTTACATCCTGACTCTGCCTGCGCATGACAGGTCTGTGGGGCCATCTCTCTTCGCCTTGGTTCACAGCCACATAGACTTCAGTTTAATGTGCAGGTGCAGCTAGGACAGTGACACTTGCAGCGCTGGATGTAAACAATCCCTGGAGGGCCCCGGCCATCAGATCGATGTAGGAATGAAGGGGGAGGGTGTTATTGGTTAGGTCAGGACAAAGGGGCAAAAAGCATAAGCGCACATTGTCTTAAAGTGCCCTTCCCTTGTCCTTTTATGTAGAGAACCCCTTTAAAGGGCTTTCCATGTAGATAACTGACATTATTAGCTTATACTGTTACTGCAGAATATCACTTTCTTTGTATCTTCCTTCCTTCTGTCCTCGTCTTCCATGCATCTTTATTGTAGGTCTCTCCTGAGGTCCCAACTGATCTCTCTACAGGAGAATCCAATACAAGGAATGGAGTTTTCCACTGCAGCAGATTAAAGACCAATTCTGCTGCAACGGAGGAGGGGACTGAGGCCGGAGAGACGCTCCATGTCTTTCATTATATACGTGTTGTCTTCTGTCTTCCCTTGTTCTTGTAATTAACATTGTATAGACAAACCATTTGTTGTACTTGAATAGATGTGCTGCATATTCTGTTTTATTAGATTGTGGTTTTGCAGTTTTTATTTTATTTCAGGGGGAAAATTTCAATAATTGACTAAGACAAAAGAGTATTAAAAAGAAATAAAATTCGGAAGTTGATCATTGCTTGTTATCACTGTCAATATTCTGACTCTAATTGTTGTATTAGTGATTTATCCCTTGCTGAGACCTCTATGCCTGGCCTGTATAAGCAGATATACTCACTGCGGACAATCCTCGTCAGATAGCTGAACTCACCAAATACATTTTCATCTACTAAATGCTTTATTGAATGCAGCAGGTTACACAGCAGAAGATTAGAAAGAAGGTATTTGCAGGTAAAAAGATGGTAACGGTTTCCCCCATGTGAGCAAACAAACATGTGGCCATGAGACAAGTGGCCATGATACCAAAAAGACAACTTGGATAAGAAAGGAGCTACATCACACACAAGGGGAGGGAATACAGACAACATCGTGCAGAAACCAAAATGACCACAAGATGGCAGTATATGAATCAGCTTTACTACTGCTCATAATACATGGCTTAAGGAAAATGATATACATTCTTAATTTACAGTAATATAAATAACCATGCCTATGCATTATATCATATTTTCATACAATGGATGTAACAGCACAGTCAACTTGACTCTTAACTGCTATAAGCACACTTTTATCTACATCTAAAGAGAACCTGTGCTTTGTTCTGTCTTTGGCTCCCCCACTTCAGCTACTGGGAGCAAGAGAATACTTTTTTTTTTTTTTGTAAGTCATAGCTTACACAAGGCTATGAATTCTCTCTCCATTGGACAGCAGTGGTGATTGGCACAGCATTGACACATGGAATGAGTCCCCTCCATACTCAGACGTACTGGGGATTTGATATGTTACCAGTGTTTGTTGAGTGAGGGAAAGCTATGTGCTGCTGAGGAGGGCATTAAAACAAACTTGTTGCTGCGCATGGGCAGATCCCAGGTTTTCAGTGGTGTGCCCGTAGATGAAGGATTAGTATGTGGCATACAGATAATATACAGGATTTATATTGCGCCAACAGTTTGCACAGTGCTTTACAATATAGGGGAAGACATTAAAATCACAATACAAGACAAGATGGAAAGGAGGGCCCTGCCCGTTGAGTTATAATTGTTCACTCAGACAGCAGTAAGATGAATGCATCTTGTCAATATCTACTTTTTACAGAGGACCATTCATGCCTAGAACTAGTGCTCTCACTCTGGCATGCATGGCGATACCCAACATGTGTGGCACAATCGTGGTTTTCACACACAGGCACACCTGAGGCATTTGCGTTAGTTACTGAGTGTTCACACATATTACTATCACATAGGTGGGCTTATTCCCAAGGATCATGTTTACTGGCACTCGTGAGTGATCAGACAGCTTTACAGCCTCCAGAATTGCTTCCAGTGTAAAGCCGACTGTCAGCTCGACACAGGTAAACAGACTCCTTGGCTAGATCTTTTCACCCGGGCCCGCTGCTGTCAACGTATTTCCACTTTTGCAGTCAAATTGGGATAAA